TGGCTCACTGCAACCTCCACTTTCCAGGTTCAAGATGTTCTCCTGCCTCAGTAGCTGGGACTACAGATGTGTGCCGCCACACCTGGCTAATTTATATATTTTTAGTAGAGACGGGGGTTTCACCATTTTGGCCAGGCCAGTCTCAAAACTCCTGGCCTTGGGTGATCTGCCCACCTCAGGCTCCTGAAGTTCTGGGATTACAGGCATGAGCTACTGGGCCAGACCTAAAATTACTTTCATGGAAGAACCAGTCTGCTTTCCCTAGCTGAGGAGCTTACTGCAGTGTACGAGAGGGTATAGAGGTACTGACTCAGTATGACTCATTTCCCCTGGACAGCTCCCTCATTTGCCCCAGTGCCACACTGTATTTTTAGCCTTGGCCTTCTACAGCACTTGACCTTTTGCCTGGATATAACAATGTGCTATGGAGGGCAAACCCGCAGCCTTCCCTGTCCCGTGCAGCATTGGGGGGACATACATAATCTAATGTATTAGATTATGCCTCCTTTGGAAGATCTGCAATTTAGGTAGGACAAAGTAAAACTGCTTACACAGACACACACAGACACACACAGACACAGACACACACAGACACACACAGACACACACAGACACACAGACACAGGCATACACACAGACACAGACACAGACACACACAGACATGCACACACACAGACAGAGACACACACACAGACACACAAACACACAGACACACAGACACAGACACACATACAGACACAGACATACACACACACACACACACACACACACACACACACACCCTTCTGGTAACATTGCCGCCACCTCTTCTGCCATCTGCTGCAAGAGATTAGTATAATCTTAATATTATGGAAACATTTATAAAACGTGGACAAGAATCCTTGCGCCAAAATATTAATTCAATTCCTTCTGGAATAAGAAAAAGAAACAACCTTTAAAAATAGAAGAGCAGTTAAATCAAATCATGGGCTATCCACACAGTGAAATGTCACGCAGGTATTAAATGATTATAAAGAATTTTAATGAAATGGGAAAACCCTGATTATAAAATATTAAGTGAAGAGTCTTAAGCCAAAAACTATAAATACAACATTATTCACGACAGGCTGTGACTATGCTTATCTCACTGAATTCATTGCCGAAGCCTCAACCAAGAGTGAGCCCTTCAATCTCTTCCTCATTGAAGCCAGCGAGGTCTTTTTCATTTTCTTTTTCCTTTTCTTTCTTTTTTTTTTTTTTTTTAATAAAGACAGAGTTTCACCATGTTGGTCAGGCTGGTCTTGAACTCCCAACCTCAGGAGATCCGCCCGCCTTGGCCTCCAAAGTGCTTGGATTACAGGCGTGAGCCACTACGCCCAGCCGAGAGGTCTTTTTAAATTGGAATTTGATGTTTTCCACTCTACATTCAGGCTCTCCAGTGACCCTCCTCCTGATGTTCCCTCCTTGACATGGGTTCCAGAGCCCTCTGCCATCCCGGTCCCGGGCGCGCCTCGGCATATGTGGGTGTCCTGCTCCCCGTCTTAAGCAGTGTGCTTTAGATTGCCTAGACGCTGGCGTGTGTTCAGAATAGAAAGTCTGTGCCTTCTTTTTGTCTTGGCTGCTCCCAGTGCAGTCACAACGAGTTAGAGATTTCTTCGTTCCTTCTCCACTCCCACTGCTTCACTTGAGTAGCCTAAAAAAAAAGGCATCTTCCTCCCATCCTTCAGATGTCGGATTCGCCCCCATTTCCTCAGGAAGCCTTTCCCCCATCCTCACCGGGGTCTCCTCACCCTTCTCCGTGCTTCCATTCCTCTTTGCTTGTCCCCTTGTGGTGGCATCTATTGCCTTTTAAAGTAACTGCTGATTTCCTTACGAATCAAAGCTAGATGGACACTTGCCACGTTCACTATTTGCTGCCAGGGAACAGTGCCACAGGGTGGGCCCTCATTAACTGTGGAAAAATCAGTAGTGACAAGCTCCCATTGGTTAATAGAAATTTTCTCTCTGAGGTATTCAATTTTGAGTGGTTTAAAATTTCTTATTCTCATATTAAAACAAGTTTTTTTTATGGTAGTAAAAAAAAAATCACCTGACATTAAATTTTACAGGTGCTGTGGCTCACGCCTGTAATCCTAGCACTCTGAGAGGCTGAGGTGAGCAGATCACCTGAGCACAGGAGTTTGAGACCAGCCTGGACTACATGGTAAAACCCCGTCTCTACTAAAATTACAAAAATTAGCCGGGCGCACAGCTAATCCCAGCTACCTGGGAGGCTGAGGCATGAGAATCTCTTGAACTCGGTAGGCAGAGGTCTCAGTGAGCAGAGATTGTACCACTGCACTCCAGCCTGGACAACAGAGTGAGACTATGTCTCAAAAAAAAAAAAGAATAGATAAATAAGTTTTGCCACCTTAACCATTTTTTAGGTGTAGAGGTCAGTAGCATTAGGTATACTTACACTGTCGGGCAACAGATCTGCACAACTTTTCATCTGGAAAAACTGAAACTTTTGTAAACCAAAAATGAAATTCTAAGTTTCCCCAAGGGACTGAATGGACCCTCTCTGAGCCGAAAACCTGAAAAAGCGAATTCCCAGCCATCCTGTGAAGGGAGGGAGGTCACACCAACTGACCAGCATTAACATTACAGTAGGGATGTTAGGCTGGCAATAAGCTGCCACGTCCCAACCCGACCCTGGTATTGCACCACATGACAGATGGCAAACCTTGAAGAAAATAAAGTTATTTTACTCCAAAATACGGTTCTTTGACATATTTTGAAATGGTCCTGTAAAGCTGTTTTTTGTGGGAGAAATTTGCATCTGTGGATAATTTCTGTTAATGCAGCCAGGACTTTTTGGATCTAGGAGAGATTAACTAAGAGTCTGACACCTTTTTTATTGGAGACAAAGTCTCACCCTGTCACCCAGGCTTGAGTGCAGTGGTGCGATCTCGGCTCACTGCAACCTCCACCTCCTGGGTTCAAGCGATTCTCCTGCCTCAGCCTCCCGAGTAGCTGGGATTATAGGCACGTGCCACCATGCCCAGCTAATCTTTGCATTTTTATTAGAGACAGGGTTTCACCATGTTGGCCAGGCTGGTCTTGAACTCCTGACATCCGGTGATCCACCTGCCTCCCACTCTTGAAGTGCTGGGATTACAGGTGTGAGCCGCTGTGCCTGGCCTAGACACCTTTTATCATCTGAAAAGAGACATTTGCCATCTATTCTCTCTGGAGGCTGCTACCTGAAGTCTTGATCTACATAACAAGGACCTTGGCTTCTACAATCCCCCTTATCTTAACTCAAGCATTTCTTTCTACTGACTTCAAGTCTTTAGACAACAGCTTAATTCTTTCAACTAATTGCCAATCAGAAAATCTTTGAATCTACCTATGACCTGTAAGCACCCCCTACCCAACCCACCTCCCACTTTGAGATGTCCTGACTTTCCAGGTGGAACCAGTGTGCACCTGACATGCATTGATTCATACCTTTGCCTGTAACTTCTGTGACCCTAAAATGTGTAAAACCAAGCTGTAACCTGAGCGTCTCAGGCATGCTTTCATAGCATCGCTTGAGACTGTTCCCTGGGCCACGAGCACTCATACTGGCTCAGAATAAACCTCTGTAAATGTTTTACAGAGTTTGGTATTTTGTCAAAACTCCACATCCACTAAACACTAATTCCTCTCACTCTTTCCTGGTAACTTCCTTTCAACTTTCTGTTTCTATAATTTTGACTACTTTAGATACTTCAGACTAAAGGAATCATACGGTATTCATGACTGGCTTATTTCTCTTCACATAATGTCTTTGAGAGTCGTCTATTTTAAAATACTTTTTTATATGAACTCTATGAGCTCTATAACTAGAAAAGAAGTTTTAACAGAATCATAGGAGCTGAAAGTGACTCTGGAATTTATCTTGACCCATTTCTTCTATTTCATACTTTACTTTTTCTAGATGATGTAAACCAAAAATGAAATTCTAAGCTCCCCAACTGACTGAATGGGTCCCCTTCTCAGCCAAGGGCATTCCAAAGTTAACCTGAAAAACCATGATGGGAAGGGGGGTTGATATGCCTTCCTTATTATATACCCTCCTCCCTTTGGAACCCAGGCACAACAGACCAGCATTAACATTAAAACAGAGATCTTGCACTTTGGGAGGCCGAGGCAGGTGGATCACGAGGTCAAGAGATCGAGACCATCCTGGTCAACATGGTGAATCCCCGTCTCTACTAAAAATACAAAAAATTAGCTGGGCATGGTGTTGCGTGCCTGTAATCCCAGCTACTCAGGAGGCTGAGGCAGGAGAATTGCCTGAACCCAGGAGGCAGAGGTTGCGGTCAGCTGAGATCGCACCATTGCACTCCAGTCTGGGTAACAAGAGCGAAACTCCGTCTCAAAACAAAACAAAACAAAACAAAACAGAGATCTTAAGACTGACAAAATACCCTTTGTAGTGGTAAGATGCCAAATTCCAACCTGCCTCTAGTATAGCCTCACATGACAGACAGCAGGCCCCCAAAACATCAAAGTATTTAACTCTGAAACCTATTTCATTGACCTGTTTTTAAATGGCCCTGCAAAGCTGTCTCTTATGGGGAAAATCTTCACTCTGTATAGAATCCCCTTCCCTTTCCTGGTCTTTTGCTGATCCAGGAGAGATTACGAGCCTGGCACGTTTTTAAGTCTGATGAGAAACATTTACCATCTATTCTCTCTGAAGCCTGCCACCTGGAGGCTTCGTCTGCATGAGAATTTTTGTCTCCACACACCTTTTCTTAACCCAGACATTCCTTTCTATTGATTCCAGGTCTTTAGATAGTAATTTAACGTTTTTAAACCAATTGCCAATCAGAAAATCCTTGAATCCACCTGTGGCCTGGAGGCTCCTGTTTCGAGCTGTTCTGTCTATCTGGACTGAACCAACGTACATCTCACAGGTATTGACTGATGTTTGTCTGTAACTTCTGTCCCCTAACTGTGCGACCCCGACGTGATCCCCTGCCCGGTACCCGATCCCAAGTAACAGCTCGAGCGAGAGTTGGAAGCCGAGTTCAGGTTTATTGGGACCAGCGGGCAGGCCAGGAAAGGAAGGAGATCGGGGCTGGCTGCGACTGCGCAGCTGGGGTAGGAGGGGTTTATAGGGGGGTGGACGGGGCGTGGATACAGGGCTGGCGGAGTGTCGTGGGAGCTTAGGATAGGCTGTCCGTTTCTGGGCGGACTGCTGAGGTGGCTCAGAGGGTTACGTGTCGGTTCAGGATAGGCCGAGGCTTGGCGGGCTTTCCTGCTGCGATGATTGGCTGCTTGTTGTTGCTAGGCAGAACAGAGCAGGCTTGGCGGGCTTTTCTCAGGGCAGCAAGAAGCCTGGGGGGAGGGTGGGGGCAAGAAACCTGGGGGAAAGATGGCGGGACTTTCTACCGAACACTAACATGTATAAAATCCAGCCATAAATCAACCCCCTCGGGTACATGTCCTCAGGACCTCCTGGGGCCGTGTCACAGGCCTGGGTCACTCATATTTGGCTCAGAATAAACCTCTTTCAATATTTTACAGAGTAACTCTTTTCATCGACACCAGACGAGAAACCCAGAGATAGAAAAGAAACTTGTCTAAGGATAAAGATTAAACAATGGTAAAGTTGAGCCCCACTCATTTACAAATAAGTAATAAAAGTAAATTTTAATCCTTTACACATTATAGCACTTTTCAGCCTTTTATTTTCTACTCGGTATTAGTTGTTTAAAAAATATTTTATTTTGTATTTGAAGCAAAAATAATCTGCCTAGAGAACACCAGTTCTCTTAGGGATTCTGCTTTTTCAATTGTATTTGTAAATTGCATTCTACTAGTGGTCAGATTTGATATCCTGGGCATGGGGCATCCTGTTGGCATTAAGAATAAAAGGTTTCTTCAGGTTTGTGGGATAATTTGATTCCTAAGCCACTCAGATCTAGCAGGGCTGGAGTCACCAGCAAAATGTCACAGAGATATTTTAGTTCGGCTGCTTCCAATTACACAACTTTCTCTCCTCCTGAAAGAGATCCCATAAGTGACAATTTATCAAATAACTACCAAAGGTCCTCTTGTTTTCAGGCCCAAACTAATTGGTTAGCTCAACAAACATGGATCATGAGTTCACCATGTGCCCTGCTGTCATTCAGAGACAAATTTAAGACACGTTTCCATCTTGCATGCTCTGCTCATGTACCCCAAAACCTATAATCCAATAAAAAATTTAAAAAAAAAAGACACGTTTCCAGAGTTGGTGAAAAAGGAAATGAAATACTCAGTGCCACTGAGCGCTAAGGGTTGTAGCGGTTACATAGTAAAACCCCTTCATTTTATTGCACGTGAGAAACCGAAGTCCTGAGAGGGACCCAGAGGCAAATGGCTAGTCAGTAGCAAGCTAGACCTTGAGATTCCTGCTTCTGACTTCCAGGCTGGGGCTCCACACAGTGCCCTGTGTTTAAGGAGGATGTGACAGCTCCATGATCACATGTGGGCTTGGTGTGAGAAGGACTCAGCCTGCTTTTCTTAGTATTTTATTCTTTTCTTATTTATTTATTTATTTTTGAGACGGAGTTTCGCTGTTGTTACCCAAACTGGAGTGCAATGGCATGATCTCGGCTCACCGCAACCTCCGCCTCCTGGGTTCAGGCAATTCTCCTGCCTCAGCCTCCCAAGTAGCTGGGATTACAGGCACGCGCCACCATGCCCAGCTAAGTTTTTGTATTTTTAATAGAGATGGGGGTTTCACCATGTTGACCAGGATGGTCTCGATCTCTCGATCTCGTGATCCACCCACCTCAGCCTCCCAAAGTCCTGGGATTACAGGCGTGAGCCACAGCACCCGGCCTCTTCCTTTCTAATTTACTTGTCAGCATGATTTTCAGTCTTGTCTTAGCATCTGCACTGGCTTTGAACAATGAGGAGAAAACTCTGGAGGTTTCCAGCCTGCAGTGATTTAAGCTAGCTCGACAGGTAGCTTGACAGAGTATTCCAACACTGATGGATTATCTTTCTTTCTTCCAATAGATAGAACCAGGAAAGGAAGTTGTAAGTGTTGACTGAGACTGGGACCCACAATACACAGTGTATTTACCTTGGTTTATGTGAAATAACGACTAAAACCTGCTTGGGGAGGATCTTTTTCTTGATGTTTTGGGTTTTATGACTGAAGGGTAGGAATCCTTTCCAATCTAAATGTGAGATTGCAGCATGTTTTGACAGTTTTTCTACCACAAACACATTTTGTGTGTTAAGGTTTGAAGGAGACTAGACTCCAAAATGTTTTATTGTGCATTGCCCATAGAATACTCTAAAGTGCAGTGAAAATAATTTTAGAAATTCTGATTAAATGATAGATTGCTTCACATTTTATATTACTGTATAACTTTATAAACTCACGTTAGTGATATAAAACTTAGTGAATATATGTACAAATAGATGATTGCAGTTCTTTGAAATGCAGGCAGAAATGATCCCATCATTATGACACTTTGTTCTGTAGGGCTGCAAGAAAAGAAATAATACCCTTCGGACAAAAAAGTACCCCAAGCCAGGTGCGGTGGGGTGTGCCTGTAGTCCAGGCTACTCGAGACGCTGAGATGGGAAGATCGCTTGAAGCCAGGTGCCTGAAGCTGCAGTGAGCCATGATCACACCACTGCACTGCAGCCAGGGTAACAGAGTGAGACCGCATCTCAACAACAACAACAAAGTATCTCAGTTTATAAAAGCATCTCCGGCCGGGCGCGGTGGCTCAAGCCTGTAATCCCAGCATTTTGGGAGGCCAAGGCAGGTGGATCACGAGGTCGAGAGATGGAGACCCTCCTGGTCAACATGGTGAAACCCTGTCTCTACTAAAAATACAAAAAATTTGCTGGGCACGATGGCGCGTGCCTGTAATTCCAGCTAATCAGGAGGCTGAGGCAGGAGAATTGCCTGAACCCAGGAGGCGGAGGTTGTGGTGAGCTGAGATCGCGCCATTGCACTCCAGCCTGGGTAACAAGAGCGAAACTTCGTCTCAAAAAAAAAAAAAAAAAAAAAAAAGCATCTCCACACAAATGAGGAATAAGTTTAAACTTATATAAATTAGTGGCTGGGCACGGGGGCTCATGCGTGTAATCCCAGCACTTTGGAAGGCCAAGGCAGGTGGATCACCTGAGGTCAGGAGTTTGAGAGCAGCCCGACTGATATTGTAAACCCCCATCTCTAAAATTAAAAATATATATCTATAATGAACAAAATTATATAAATTAATTTAAGGGAACGCACGGTGTAACATTTGTTAAATACTGTCCTGTAACGATTGCTATTGATGGGATTCTCAGCAAAGTGCTGCTGCCGAGTTCCCGTCACCTTCCCATGGCCCCTCAACAGGTGCTGCTGTAGTTTCCGCGTTACTCAAATGTTGTTCTCCATCGGGCAGAAATTATTTTCGTGTGTGAGTTTTGGCAACATAGAGGGTCAGAGGCTCCACGTTTCTCAGTGTGGTCGTCACCAGATGGATCTCGTACTACCCCAGGTCCCCGTTTTCTGAACTGCTCTCTTTCCAGAGATAAAAGCTGACAAGGATCTTGCTGACAACATGTAGAGTGGGAACCTACTGAAGCCCACCCAGTGAAAAGTCAACCAGCCAAGTGAAAGTGGATGAACAAGAGGGCAGAATGGCTGAGGGTCTGCTAAGAAGTGTTCCCCAGAGCAAAATTAACTATCAAATATATCTGATGAATTTCCGCAAAGAAGTGAGGAAGCTTTGCCAGCACTTACTTTCAGTCTGCCAGCTTTAGACTAGAAGTTAATTTATTTCAACACAGTTTACTCTGGCAGTTACACCATGCTGTGCTTACTTAGGTGCCAGAATTTTGTAGTCAAAAGAAGGGTCGAATTCAAGTGACAGCTTTTTAGCTTTATGACGCTTTAAACAAAATGCTAATACTATTACCTTTCAGAATAGATCATTCAGTTCTCTCCTTTTGAGTAGATGCTGAAAATATTCTGGCTAAACAAAATTTGATCTAGGTTACCTCTCATTTGACAGAGGAGGAAACTGAGGCACAGAGAGGTGAAGTGACTTTTTCCAAAATCTCATGGTCAGTCATTGTCAGAACCTGGACCAGAACTCAAGTTTCTTGATTCTCACTTCATTGCTCTTCCCTTCTTAAAATCTATTTTCCTCAAATATGGCTTTTTGCTCCGTCATATAAACTTTCTCAGTCGCACACCTCAGCTCACCATCATGGGTCCATCCTCTTCTGGTCTTTTTCTCCATGCCAGCTTCCTGGCAAGCGTTTTCAGGATGCAGTGGTGTCATCTCTACTCACTGTGAACTCTGCTGAGTTCAAGGGATTCTCCTGACTCGGCCTCCCTAGTAGCTGGAGTTACAAGTGTGCCCCACCATGCCTGGCTAATTTTTGTATTTTTAGTAGCGATGGGGTTTTGACCATGTTGGCCAGGCTGGTCTCGAACTCCTGACCTCAAGTGATCCACCCACCTTTGCCTCCCAAAGTGCTGGGATTACAGGCGTGAGCCACCACGCCAGCCCCTGGCAAGCTCTTTCTGAAAGGTGGACCGCTGCTGCTCTCACTCTCTCACTTGCTGCTCAGTCCACTGCTTTAGGCTTCTCCGCCCTTCAAGTTGCTGTCTCCCAGGTGTCCAGTGACTCTGCACTGCCGGTGACAATGCCCATCCTCTAGTCCTTAGTTTACTTGACTTCTCTGTGACATTAAACTCCACTATCCACCCATTCCTTCCTAAAACCTCACATTTTTTCTTCTTGGCTGCTGTGATGTCATCTCCTGGTTTTCTGCTCTCTGGCTTCCCCTATATTGATTCCTTGGTGGGGTCTGTTTTCTCACTCCTTAAATTCTCATACTGCCCTGTTGCTTTTCTCACGTGTATGTTCTTAGGCGTGCTCTCGGGGACATCACGGCTTCAACACCACCTTTGTAAGGATGACTCTCATGCCTCTGTGTCTGGCTCAGACTCCTCCTCTCTCCCCGTCCCCACTTTTTTTTTTTTTTTTGAGACAGGGTCTCACTGCTACCCAGGCTGCAGTGCAGTGGCACAATCGATCACAACTCACTGCAGTCTCAAACTCCCACGTCACGTGATCCTCCCACCTCAGCCTCCCAGGTAGCTGGAACTACAGGTGCACACACCATGCCTGGCTAATGTCTAATGTTTTTATTTTTTGTAGGGTTGAGATCTCCTCATGTTTCCTAGGCTGGTCTCCAACTCCTGGCCTCCAGCAGTTCCCCCACATGGGCCTCCCAAAGCACTAGGATTACAGATGTGAGCTACCATGCCCAGCCTCAGACATCCCTTTCCATTTCAGCCACATGTACCTACGATAAGCCTCACCTAAAATTCATCACATTGAAAACCTGTGCCACTTCCTCT